CATTGTACTAACTTAAATTGCATATCACGGCAGACATCTCAAAATACATAGTCTTCTGGGGGCTTAGCATATGTTAATACATTTTGGTAGAGAGGAATATAGGACTACTGTCATATAGGTTATGTTATCGGGCATCCTTCTAATTCCCTTGAACAACCAAGATTGAACTTTTGAACTCTTTATAATTTCTATTATCTAGTCCAGTTAAAGTCCAGGGGAGGAAGCCCCATCATAGTAAAGAGGATACTAATGTGATGTGTGTAGTTCTTCATAGCCTCTTCATTTTGCTCTCAAAGTGCACGGAATTGATGGATTTTTAACAGAATGTAGAAAAAAATTCTCCCGGGGGGGCATACCCCGGACCCCCCTAAAGGGGCTGTATTCCCCTTGGGGCTAAGCCCCCCTTGTTCTTGAAACCTAGTGACGCCCCTGCCATTCACCCTGAAGTGTACCATACTCGTCATCTTTTTTTCTTTTTGCCATCTGATTCATTGAAGGATTAGCTTTGCGCTAATGGCCGAACGGGCTGATTCAAAAGGGGGCGTTTACCTGATTCCACAGCAACGGCCTACGTAGGCCAATATCATCCAATTAAAATTGCTCCTGCAACTGCAGCCCTGAATAGGATATGAGCAGTGAAAAATCGATGGATGGATTAAACAAGCGAGAATATTTTGCTTTATCTGCGAGCCAGATGCAATCATCAAAAGAGCCACACCTGGCTCACGAGCCCGAGGGTGACCAGATTTTAATTTCCGAAAAGTGGACACTTAAAGTTCAATGAAATGATACTCAGTTTACTCAGACACGCCATACATGAATATAATATTTAACATAGCGCCCTCAAGGATGCGACATGAATGACAACACGAAATCCAAATGAAAATATGGGGTTTAAATCCTGGCAACCAGTGAGAACTGGACACACGAACATGAAACATACAAAACAAGTGGCATCACAAAACAAATAAAAGACAAAACCATTAAGACAATTGATTTAACGCAGTGCTTCTCAATTATTTTCTGTTGCGCCCCCCCCCCCAGCAAGAAGAAAGAATCCCCCCCCACTCTGCAGCCACTATAAATACCATTTGTCTTTAAAATTGTTATCAATACACCTATGCATGATATTTTATCCTTAACATTAAAGAAAAGAAAAAAATATAGTCCAACTTACAGCAAAGAATAACTATTCATATTTATTAACAGCTTTTTAGTTTGTAACAGAAACCATTTTAAGTGCATCCATTTGCCCGAAAAACAAACAAAAAAACCCCCATCCTTGTTTAAACAGTAAAAGGATGCCACCTTATATGATGCCAACAGTGGTCGCTGGCTTACTGAATTAGCATTCACAAAGCGGGATGATGTTGGCAATATTCGGCATGTTTTCGTTGAAAAAACTCCAGCGGTTTAACAGCGTGGTTGGGTTGTAATGTTCTTAAGTGGTACCTTTATTTATTCAGTTTCATGCAGTCCGATGTCAGAATTTTAAGGCACAGTAAACATATTGGTCACTCCTCGTCTCCCACTGTCGACACAGTGAAAGTACTTTGGTCTCGTTATTGTCGTTTGCCTCAGTCTTTCTTTTCATCCCTGTTAGAAATGTTTCCATTTTGTCGCTTGAGGGGTTGTTTGCTTCACTTTCCAATTACTACTCCGTGCATAAAACCCCCCCAAAAAAACTGCAGCAGAGGCATTCCGCCCTGTGCACTCTGACAATGAGGGCGCCACTGCCATCTGCTGTGGTGGATGTGAAATTACACTTTGAGTACGAAGGAAAAAAAAAAAAGCAAGTTCCCCAGAGTCACACGGCCTCCCCTGGCAGAACGTGCCCCACTATTTGAGAAGCACTGCGTTCAACCAAGGCTTGAGTCTGGCTTTTAGTTGCCATTTTTAATCGAGCCACCAAATACAGTATAACACAATAGGATGAGTGCAACCAAGGGGTGACTTCTGTGTTTTAAGAGTGAACTCAAAGCTCATTAAAGGCATCAAAGAATCTACGGGCGGTGAGAGCGTTAAACATTGTGTGGTTGCACTCCAGAGAGGCAGATTTAACAGCAGCACAAGAAAAAAACGACCTCATAGAAAACTTTCATGTGATCAGAGACAAGACTTTTGACACCAGCAGACCATAAGTATGAACTAGGTCGAAAGTATGTCCTTGTCCATGTGTTGGGCTGGTCACATATTGCACAAATTAAAGGTCAATAAGTCTTGAAAAGTCCTTTGCCAGTTGGTTTTTAGGACAAGAAATATGAATAATAAAATCCCCCATGAGGAGGATATGATCATACTGGAGCCTGATTTGAAAAGTCATTCAAAAAGTTGTATTTCGGAGGATGGTAAATGACAGCGCTGAGCATGGGGACAGCATGGCCAACTTCAAGGAAAGTTGCTTCAAAGCTGGTCATTGATGTGGCGAAAATATACCATTTAAATTTTAAATTGTATTAAAAATTATTGACCACTCCTCCACCACGGGAGTCCAAGAAGGCATAGTCAGTTGGCAACAATTCAATTATAGCGTTATACTCACCAGTGCCTGTCCATGTTTTTTTTCAGACAGAAGAAATCCAAGTCATCGGAAAGGAAAGAACTTCCTCAGGATATAGGTCGACTTCGTCAACAACCAGGCGCGCAATCCTTGTGGGGCCAACAACAGGAGTATTTGCCTCAATCGGTCCCGTGAAAAATAATTAAAGCAGGACATTTTCATGAATTGTATTCTCTGACATTTGACTCGGCATGAATCAGACTTGATCTTAGTTTTACTGTTTTGTGCTTTCTACTGTCTTCGTTATTAATTTATTGTTTTATGTATGATATTTGCTCCATGTACAGCACTTTGTCTACAGCAATGGCTGTTTTAAAGTTGAGTTGAGAATTTCTTAATTATAAACTAAAAATTATAAAGTAAAAAAAAAGAAAAAAAGTGGACGTTTGGACACCCTACATCGTCCTTTTGAGCTGTATGTCTTTCGTGATACTCAGCTAGGAGGCTCATAATCAGCAGCTGATTTTGTGAGGAAGACAATAAAAACAATCTTTTTTCAAATGTAGAACAAGCGTTGACAAAAAGGTAAACCTCAAGAAAACAAATTCTGATATGAGCAAGTTATGCATATTTCAATGTACATGCATTACCTTTGATCAGAATACTAACCTCTCCGATATATGACCGCCATGTAGTCATGTCGTTAGCAGTTTGCTGCAGCTCACAGATACTTCGATAACTGGAGCAATTAGAATAATGTCATTTACAGTAACTTGACTAATTCCACCAGACGGCAGCCATATTTCTACACCAAACGAAAATATAGACGCAACACTTTTGTTTTTGCTCCCATTTTTCGTGAGGACTCAAAGATCGAAAACTTTGACTAAATACACAGAAGACCCTTTCTCTGAAATATTGTTCACAAATCTGTCTAAATCTGCCTTAGTAAGCCTTCATCAAGATAATCCATTCCACCGAACGTGTGCCATATCAAGATGCTAATTAGAAACCATGCTTATTTGCACACGTGTGCCTTTGGCTGGCCACAATAAAAGGCCACTCTGAAATGTGCAGTTTTGCTTTATTATGTGGGTCTGTATCTGGTGTGACCCCATTTTACCTCATGTAGTGCAATACGTCCTGCACATGGAGTTGGTCAGGTTGTTGATTGCGGCCTATGGAATGTTGGTTGACTCCTCTTCAATGGCTGTGCGAAGTTGCTACATATTGGAAAGAACAGGAGCACGCTGTTGTATACACTGATAGGTGACATGTCCGGTGAGTATGCTGGCCATGCAAGAACCGGGATGTTTTCAGCTTCCAGGAATTGTGTACAGATCGAGGCAAAACGGGGCTGTGCATTGTCATGCTGCAAAATGAGATGATAGTTGTGGATGAATGCCACAATAATGCTCAGGATCTCATCAACATATCTCTGTGCATTCAAAATGCCATTCATGTTCGCTGCCAATAACATACACCTGACCATAAACCCACTGGCACCATGAGCCACTTGATCCACAACCTTAGCAGCAGCAAACTGCTCACCCGCATCACACTACACACTGTCTCTTATGTGCCAGATGCCATCAAATGTGAGCATTTGTCCACTAAAGTCCTGAACATTGACGAACTGCAGTCACTTTGGGATGAGGACGACTAGGGTGCAGATGAGTTCCCTGAGATAGCTTCTGACAGTTTGTGCAGAAATTCTTTTGTTTTGCAAACCGATTGTTGCAGCAGTTGTCCGGCTGGCTGGTCTCAGACGATCTTGGACGTGAACATGCTGGATGTGGAAGTCATGGCTTGGTGTGGTTACACGTGATCTGGAGTTCTGATTCCAGTTGTTATTGGAATGAAAGTACACCTTACAAATGTGACAATCCCCCCCCCCCCCCCGCCCCACCCCAAACCTTCTATAAAATACTCCCCCTCAATTTAGGATGAATTTTTATTTATCCATTTTTGGGAGCATAAAAATGTGTATTATTCTCTACAAATTACGGTAATCAAAGCTCTGTACCCAAATGTGATATATTATTAATAAATTGAGCTAGCACAGTGATTAAGTAATTAATTTGTGCAAAAACATGAAATGAAAATCTTTTTGTCATGTGTCCTCAATGTAACCATTTCAGCTCAGTCAAATGTATTTCCATATCATTTTGGCTGAGTAAAAATTAAACATTACTTTATAATGATCTATGAAGACACAGTAGACAGCTGCCACCTGCTAACTAGACAGTTTCTTTTCTTGGTACCGGCTACCTAATTTGAAAAAATGACATTCAAATGATCACACAAATTTTAGAGCAACACTGTTGTCCAAATGCAGTACCTCCAAAACATTTTTTTTTTCCAAAGTGTCGTTAAAATCATGTGTTGCCCAGTCCACACCTCAAACAGCGAATGCAGTAATGGTCGTTGGTAGCACCAGAAAAGGGGAAGGGGACTCTTGATCAATCATAGAGCATCTAAACAGGTAAAATAGTAATAATAACATTCTATGGCTATGAGTTTATTTAGTACAGTATTTCTGATGACAAGCTAGCACCCTGTAAGTTCGTACGATAAAACTACATTATTTTGCAAGCTATGAGAGCAGTGATTTTTGCGACAAACTGATACAACAGATTAGCAATGGTGGGGAGGAGCAACGAGTATATGGGCAAAAAAAAAGTTCAATTTAGAGAGGACGTAGCACTGGACCACTGACCCAACCTTGGACAAACCTTCCACCTCATAGTTGTGATACTGAGCAAGGCATAGAAAACCTGAACATCTTTGCACTAACACTGTCACAAAAACTCCACAGTCACAACTGATAATTAAATGTTATAGGGTAACACATGTTAAATGTTGTATGGTCAGAAGTTAACTGTCAAAGAGAATGAAGCAAAAATAAGATGTTAATATATGTTTCGTTAGGCATGTTTTACATGGTGCATTAAAAACCCTGAAATAAAAGGAGAAAGGAAGGGAACTAAACATGACATACTGAGAGATGCTTAAAATTGATGAGATACGGAATGATGTCACCCATACGCATGCAGGCACGCACACACAAGAAACAGCAATCTGACACAAAATTTGTTAATTGGTTCCTTATAGCAGCACAGCATCAAACTAATACAATTTTGTCATAGCTAAATTTAATTGTACTTTTTAAAATAATGTGTTCAGCAATCTTTTTTTTCTCAAAGCTCCTTACCAATGACAGATTCTAACCACTTTTTGTATGCCAGTCCAAAGTGTCTTTGCTCAGGGTTACATTGTCTGTCCAGAATAGTGCTCAGAAATGTGCACTCTGAGGACAGGCTGGGGGGGTTTGACAGACGGAAACCCCTCTTAAGTCGCTTGCTGTCGCGAGAATCAGGCAAGGATATGCCATCTACCTCCATGCTACCAGCTCCGCAATCACCAGACCCTTGACCACCTTGCTTCAGTTGGTCCGTGTCACCAATGTTACAGAGGACAGTGCTTCCATTACAGTTGAAGTAGAGCTGGTGTTCCCACCTCCACTGGTGCCACAAATAGAAGACATGCCGCCTGGAGTACAAGGGAATATACATATTTACTATCACATCGGCTTAATTAATCATATACATTTAATTAACTAAAAGTTAAATGGTCCATAAAAAAATGATATAGTTGTTAAACGTGTAGTCCAGGGGTCTCAAACTCAGATCATCAGCAAGCTCTGCGGAAGCCTGACATTGAACCTGTTCATTTGAATCAGGTGTGTTGCAACAGGGAGACTTGGAAAACAAGCAGGACAGCGGCCCTCCAGGAACTGAGTTTGAGACTCCTGGTGTAGTCCTAAATTGACAACATATGCAGGGCTTGACATTAACATCTGCCAATCCGCCAAATGCGGGTGCACTTCAGCTGTTGTTAGTGACATTGCAATTCTAGCTAGCCACTTTTGTGGGTGCAACGAATTATTGATCCATATCGATTACTTTCCACACAGGGTTTGGCACGCATGGAGTCCGCATATTTGAAGTGAAAAATAAAGTAATGGCGTGTTCACATGAAGGTATCATGTCAGGAGCCGGACATACACTGGAGCCACCGTGCCCCCTCAAATCAAACCCACACAAGATTTCTCACGTCTGTCTCCTCCAAAGCGGAGCAATGAAGCAAGCAGTGTGGTTGCTTTTTTTTAATCTAATGTCTGCAGTGAGAGTGCAAAAAAGGTCACCAAGTCATTTATTAAGCATGTTAGTGTGCATGAAACACTTATTCATTTGGGATGCATTGATATAAGGTTCTGCGATTGGCTGGCAACCAGTTCAGGGTGTTCCCCGCCGACTGCCCAAAGTCAGCTGGGATAGGCTCCAGCACGCCTCGTGACCCTTGTGAGGATAAGCGGATCAGAAAATGGATGGATGGATGACATAAGGTTGTTTGAAGAGTTTAATTTACTTAGCGATGCTCAAGTTAGTATCAATGTGCCACCAGAAATGGCACAGTTTTGAGTATCAAAATAAGAGCATCAGGCAGAAGTGCTGTGACTGACAGCTGGATTTTTTTGCACATTTAGATGGGCCACACAACAGTGCAGGCAAGGTGTTATAAAACAAGCCCAGCCATTTTCTTCCGCTTATCAAGTGATGGTTCATGGGGGCAGCAGCTTTAGCAGGGAAGCCCAGACTTCCCTTTCTCAGCCACTTTGTCCAGTACATCTAAGGAGATCCAGAGGCATTCCAACCAGGAAACAGTTGCTTGCATATCCTGAGTCATCTCCTTGGTTGGCCTCCTCCAGGTGGAACGTGCCAAGAACAGCTCACCAGGAAGGCGTTCAGAAGGTACCCTGATTAGAATCCATAGCCACTTCATCTGGCTCTTTTTGATATGGAAGAGCAGCAGCTCTTCTCTGAGCGCCTCCTAGATGCCCGAGCTTGTCACACACACACACACACACACACACACACACACACACACACACACACACACACACACACACACACAAATGTATATTCCACAAGCAGTCACCTTATCATAGTTGAGGGGTTTGAGTGGTCTCAATGATCCGAGCAGCTAAATTGTTAGGGGATTTATGCCCCTGGCAGGGTCACCAACGGTTAACAGGTCCTAGATGTGGGACACCAGACCATGGATGGCTCAGACACCCCTTATGATGAAAAATAAAAATGGATCCAGTTTACCCTTACCAGGACACTGGGTACCGGAGCTTCCATCTGGAGCCAGATTTGGAGATGGTGGTCGATAGTGAGCATCTGGTGGCGAGCCTCCACCTATGACATATGGCCGGGCTCAGCCCGAGGTGAATACGTGGGTCCGCCTTCCCCTGGGCTCAACACCTATGGGAGGGGCCTCAGGAGTCGGGTGTGAAGTGAGGTGGGCGGCAGCCAAAGGTGGGGACTTTGGAGGTCTGATCCCCAGCAACAGAAGCTGGCTTGATGGGCGTGGAATGTCACCTATCTGGTGGCATGGAAGGAGCCTGTGGTAGTGTGCAAGCCAGAGAAGTTCGAATTAGGTATAATCGGACTCGCCTCCACACATAGCTTGGGCTCTGGCACCAGTCCTCACGATGAGGGGTTAGACTATCCTTCCACTCTGAAGTTGCCCGCAGTGAGAGACGCAGCGCAGGTGTGGGCATACTTATTGCCCCAACAGCTTGGCTCCTGTATATTGGAGTTCAGTCCGGTGGACAAGAGGGGAGCCTCACTCTGCCTTCGGGTGCGGGGATGGGTCCTAAGTGTTGTTTGTGCTTATGCATGAAACATTAGTTCATCGAGCCGAACCTTTTTGGAGTCCTTGGAAGTAGTGATGGAAAGTGCTTCTTCTGGGGACTTCGTCGTTTCCCTCTGTGACTTGAATGCTCAAGGGGGCAATGGCAGTCAAACTTGGAGGCGTGTAATTGGGAAGAATGCCCCCGCCCCCGATCAGAACCAGAGCAGTTCTGTTCCTGGACCTCTGTGATTGTCATGAATTGTCCATAATGAACACCATGTTCAAACATAAGTCTGTCTATATGTGCACGTGGCATGAGGACACCCAAGGCCACAGTTCTTATGATCAACTTTGTGGCTGTGTCATAGGATTGGCGGCCACATGTTTTGGACACTCGGGTGAAGACATGGGCGGAGTTATTCACTGATGACCACCTGGTGGTGTCTTCACTCCGATGGAGACAGAAGAGGCCGGTGCGACCTGACAGTTCCAAATGTCTTGTGAACTTTGCTGGGAACGTCTGGCAGTGTCCCCTGTCAGAAAGAGTTTTAACTCCCACCTTCGGCAGAACTTCACCCACATCCTGGGGGAGGTAGTGGAAAATGAGTCCAAGTGGACTATTTTCCCATGCCTCCATTTTTTTAAGGCAGCCAACCAGAACTGTGCTGGTGGACACCTGTGGTGACGGATGCCGGCAAGCTCAATAAGGAGTGGTATCGGGCCTTTTGGGCCTGTGGGACGACAGTGGAGCTGATGGGTACCGGCTGGTCAAGTGAAATGCAGCCTTGGTGGTCACCAAGGCAAAATATAGTATGTATATATATAGGAAAAAAACACACACACACACACACACACACACACACACTTGAGCCTGGGCACCCTGTGGGGTAAACACATTTCGGCTACTTCTATCCGTAACCTTATAAAACAAGTGTTCCACGTTAAATGAAACACATGGCTTAGATTTCAAGAGTTGAGGTGCAATACTGGCTATTTTCTGTGATGATGTTGACAGTGGTGCCCATCTATTCACTTGGGTCGTGTCATGTCCCTCAAATGCCAGCTGGACCAACTGGGCCTTTAATTTTATGCAGAATTGTGCGCACAGGTTCTAAAAATATTTCTCATAGTGGCAAATTATGCATATTGTTGCGGATGCACCAAATGCAAGGCATAGTCTGTAAGTAATCAGCTCACTGACGATCAGATATGTGTATTGCACTTTGCCTGGAAGCTATGTAACTACATGAAAATGAACAACACTGTTTTAGTCTTTTCATTCTGTGTTGATTCTCTCATCTTGTATCTGTGACCTATTTTACCAGATGTGTTACTTGGTTGCACATTTATTACACAAAACTGAGACAAGTAAAAATGCAGAGGGGCTTGGAACTCTGGGAAACCACTCGCCATAGTTGATGGTTAATGTCAAGCCCTGATTTTATGTAATGATCACTTGGGATCCTCACCTGTGACTCCACAGGGTCTCATGTCCAGGGAAAGACCGGATCAGGTCTGAGCATAGTTCCATTTCCTGGTGGAAGAGCTCAAACAGTTTGGCTAAGTCAAGCTCCCTCTCATCTTCATCTATTGTCTGTATTCCTGATTGCTCTCCATTAGCCAGGACACTGATGGAAGGTAAGAAGCAAGTTCTGGGCATGGACTGATGAAGGGGTGAGCAGTTTTTGCTGGGAGCTGGTGTCAGAGAAAACTCCTCAATTAGCTCCTGAAGCAGGAATTGGCGGTAGTGAAAGCCACTATGGTCAGACACATGCATTGACACCCACTGACGCGTTGTGGACAGCTCATCATGGAAAACCTTCAAGGGTAATGAAAAACTGACATTTACTTTGAGATCAGAGTTGATGGTATACTTTTTAAATGGTCACTCGAAGTGGCTACAAGCACCATGGAACAAACATCTCTTTTCCAAACAACCTCAGTGTTGTTGCTGGGCTGGGTTCTAGAGCCAGTTCAGTTCTGGTTCAATTGCAAATTTATTGTGAAGCAATTTAGCCCCCAATACTTTGTTGAGCTCAGTTTCTGGAGCTCCAAAACAATGGCATGTGCCGAATGACATTGGTATACAAATATCAACTAGCTTAGCATTAATTTAGAACAGCTCAAGTAATTGCCATTTTTCTCATTTTTTTTCAAGTATTATGGACAGACAAGAAGCCCCGACCTACCTTCACATTGCCTTTGGCCATATGTTGAAGCACCCAGATGCGGTGGGACCATGCATTGTAGTTGCTGGGATAACTACATGCAGCATCAGAGCAGACATTTAGTTCTTTGTGGAGCAATTGAGCAAAGTGGTAACTGAACTGCTGACTCCTTTCTACAGCTGCCCTCTCTGCTTCACCCTGTTGTTGCTTTCCATCACAATCCACAGCTGAGAGCCGTCTCAGGATTTGCTGCAGCACCCAGCGTCTGCAACGAGGCATCATTTACTGGTCATGATTTGTTCGTAATGATGTTGGTACACTACTATTGACTCATTCATGATTAACAAAATAAAAAACGTGGATTTAAAAGGAGGAACCTGACAAGTTTAGTTGACCTTCCACCACACAAATAAAATGTAACAACATGAGGAATCCCATAAAAGTAAAAGTGATCAAATATGTTAAAGTCACATGAAGTATGTGGACTGAAAAATATGTGTTGTTTGACGTCAATACCACAGTGTAATTGTGGCATTTGGTCCCATCAGTGAGTGGTTGCACGGTTGAATGCTATGAACTTAAGAGAAGGGAAACAGGCTGCAGGGACCATGAGGAGCATTGTAAAAAAAAGAGCAGAACATAGGACAAAAAGTGATGGATATGGGGAGAGAATTATGGTTAAGGAGAGACGGGAGGATGACAATGTCTCAACTCAACTGAACTGTATTTATAGAGCACTTTCAAACAGCCATCGCTGAACACAGTGCTGTACATGGAGCAACTAACATATACAACAGTAAAGCAAGAAATCAGTGTCCTCATTTCATTTCACCTGTTCTGGTCATAAAGCATGCAGCAGAGTTCTGAAACAGTTTAAGTTCATCCAAGAGTTAATTGGCAGATCAGCAAGGAGAGACTTACAATAATCCAGGCTAGGATTGCTCAGTATCCACAAACAGCGGTGTCTTTAAATACGGGTTCAACGAACACAAAACACCCAAAATGAATGGAAATTTAATGCCCACCTCAAGTTAACTCATTTTTTTCTGATGCAACCGTTTAATGCCATCCACGAGTTACAAGTTGACTCGAGAAATGTTTTTTGAATGCAGAAGTGTATGTGTGTTTATGTACTATCTGCTGTAGACACACACACAGACACACACACACATATATACACATACACATACACACACACACACACACACACACACACACACAGTCAAACCTCGGTTTTCGTACTTAATCCGTTCCAGAAGACTGTTCGAAAACCGAATTGTTTGAAAACCGAAACCATGTTTCCCGTTGGAATCAATGTACAATTTTTTAATCCGTTCCAAGTCAAGAAAACAACTTTTTTAAACCACTTTTTTTGACAATTTCACACCATACACTGTACAAATGTAATAGGAGAGCAGGTAATATGTAAAATACTGTACAAACAAACTGTAATATGTTTTATATTCACCTATTTTAACATTAACATAGGAACATAAAAATTGAAGGAACACAATCGCCAACACAGATACACGCACACCTGACTCAAATTTCGCGATCAAATCTTTCTTCAATTCTATAGTTTTGCGCAATATTTTTCTCTTTTCTTCACCAGGTTTACCACTTCCACTTGCTTTCTTTGGTGCCATGATTAGGGGCTGATACACGATGCAAAAATAACAGTCCGATATTACGTAGTTCTCACCAAACATGCCTGCTTTTTTAAAAAAAAATCTTTATTGAACAATACAAACTCGTCTGTGCAATATGCAATATGCAGATGACGGATAATGAGGGGAGGGTCATAGTCTGTGACAGGAGGCAGGGGTCGGGCAGAGGCAGAGGGTGGGGAGTTTGGGCAGAGCACGGAGGGAGTTGAGTCTCCTGACCGCCTGGTGGAAGAAACTGTCTTTGAGCCTGCTGGTTCTGGCACGGAGACTTTGCAATCTCCTTCCCGACGGCAGCAGGCCGAAGAGGCTGTGGGATGGGTGGGTGGGGTCACCTACAATCCGGATGGCTTGGCGGGTCAGACAGGAGTTGTAAATGTCCACGTGTGGGGGGAGAGAGACACCAATGATCTTCTCAGCTGCTCTCACGGTGCGCTGCAAAGTCTTTTGGCAGGACACAGTGCTGCAAGCACCATACCACACAGTGATGCAGCTGGACAGGATGCTCTCAATGATGCCTGTATAAAATGTCTTCATGATGGGGGGGCGGGGCTCTTGCTCTCAGTTTGTGGAGGAAGTACAGGCGCTGGTTGGCTTTTTTGGCCAGTGATGAGGTATTGTGGCTCCAGGACAGGTCTTCAGAGATGTGCACTCCCAGGAACTTGGTGTTGCTCACTCTCTCCACTGTGGCATCATTAATGGTCAGTGCAACACGCTGGAAGTGCGTCTTTCAGAAGTCCACAACAATCTCCTTTGTCTTCTCCACATTCAGGTGGAGATTGTTGTCTTTACACCACAAGGACAGCCTGCTCACCTCACTCCTGTAGATTGTCTCATCGTCGTTGTTGATGAGACCTACTAGTCGTGTCATCCGCAAATTTAACGAAGAGATTGGAGCTGGACAAAGGAGTGCAGTCGTGGGTCAGCAATGTGAAGAGGAGGGGGCTCAGCACACATCCTTGTGGGGCACCTGTGTTCATCATGATGGTGCTGGAGATGTTGCTGCCGACCCGAACTGCCTGTGGTCTCTCGGTCAGAAAGTCCAACAGCCAGTTGCACAGGGAGGTGTTGAGCCCCATGTGGTCCAGTTGGATGAGCCGCTGCGGGATGATGGTGTTGAATGCTGAGCTGAAGTCGATTAACAGCAATCTGACGTGTGAGTCCTTGGTCTCCAGGTGGGTGAGGGCTGAGTGGAGGGCGGTGGAGATGGCGTCTGAAGTCGATCTGTTCTGCCGATATGCAAACTGGTAGGGGTCCAGGGTGGGGGAGGGGGCAGACTTTATGTGCTGCATGATTAACCGCTCGAAGCACTTCATGAGGATGGGGGTGAGAGCGACCGGGCGGTTGTCATTGTAGCTGGAGGAGGACGACTTCTTCGGGACCAGGATGATGGGGGTGGCTTTGAGACAAGTGGGGACAACAGCCTGGCTCAGTGAGGTAGGTGTTAAAGATGTCTCTGAAAACATCTGTGAGCTCCTCAGCACAGTCTTTCGGGACGCGACCAGGAATGTTGTCAGGACCTGCCGCTTTCCGTACGTTTGTTCTCCTGAGGGAACGCCTCACACTATCCTGGGAAAGCGTCAGCACTTGGTCGCCAGGAGGGGGTCTTCTGTGCTGGGGTGATGGTGTCTATCTCAAAACGGGCGAAGAAGTCGTTCAGGTTGTTCAGCAGAGAGATGGAGCTGTCGCAGGTGTGCGGAGAGGGCTTGTAGTCCGTGATGGTCTGGATCCCCCGCCACAGGTTCCTGGTGTCTTTGCTGTCCTTGAACTGGTCTGCAATCCTCCTTGAATATTGTCTTTTGGCCAGTCTGATGCCTCGTGACAGGTTGGCCCTGGCAGTCCTGAGGCCCACCACGTCTCCAGCTCTGAAGGCAGTGTTCTTGGCCCTCAGCAGCCTGTGGACCTCACCTGTCAGCCATGGCTTCTGATTGGCCCGGATGGTGATGGTTCTGGTGACCGTGACATCATCCATGCACTTCCTCATGTAGCACGTGACAGTCTCCGCGTACTCGTTGAGGTTAGTGGTTGCATGTTTAAACACACTCCAGTCTGTGGTGGAGAAACAGTCTTGGAGTGCCTCTGTGGACCCCTCAGGCCACACTCGTACTTGCTTCCTCACTGGTTTGATGACTTTCACCAGTGGCCTGTATGCTGGCATTAGCATCACAGTGGTGTGGTCTGAGGCACCAAGGTGGGGGAGGGGGAGGGCTTTGTAGGATCCTCTGATTGTGGTGTAGACGTTGTCCAAAATATTTGTGCCTCTTGTGGGAAAGTCGATGTGGCCATGGAGTTGTGGAAGCACGCTCTTGGGGTTTGCATGGTTGAAATCTCCAGCCAAGATGAGAAAGGCGTCGGGGTGGGCTGTCTGCTGCTCACTGATGTGCTGATGGAGTCCAGACAGAGCCATTTTCCTGCTGTTGGTTGAGCCAAGGGAATGTATATTGCTACCAGCAATATGGCACTAAATTTCCTCGGCAGGTAGAATGGCCGGCATTTGATAATCATAAACTCCATCGTTGGTGAGCAGCACTTGCAAACCACAACAGCGTCACGGAACCAGGCATCACTGATGTAAACACAGAGTCCCCCGCCACGAGTCTTCCCCCCCTCGACGAGCTCTCTGTCTGCTCGGTAGCACGTTAGCCCAGCTAGCCAAATAGCCCGGTCCGGGACACTGTTGTTGAGCCATGTCTCCACGAAAACAAAGACGCAGCAGTCACTCACGGTTTTGCAAGATGTCCGAAGTAAGCGGATATAGTCCAGTTTGTTGTCCAGCGAGCGTACATTGGCCAGCGTGATGGTCGGGATAGCTAGTCGATGAGGGCTAGCTGCTAGCTTAGCCCGGATACCTCCGCGCTTCCCCCCCTTCTGCTTCCTTAGATTCCATCCGTGGCGCTTCCACTGCGGGCTGGTTGCAGGAGTGGGGGTCGGTGATAGAGCAGGCCTTCGCAGCAGACCACAGTCACGCAGCAGACCGCAGTCAAGCAGTTTTTCCGCCTTGGTTGGATTATTGTCCGTTTTTGTAGTTCTGCCAATGGCGAGCAGAAACTCACGAGGGTATGCGCGCCTTGGTGCGCAACACAGTGAAAACAAGGAACACAAAGAACACGAAGAACACTGATTTGCAGGGGGAGAGAGAGATACACACACACATAGATGTATACTGTATATATTTATATATAGATTTTTATTTCGTTCACAGCTCCGAGTTTCCTGAACGCAACATACTCATAGCTGCTCTGCCATTGGCTTACCGAGCATCATCCTGGCCTCCCATTGGCCAAGAGGGACCTCAATATCGATGTATGTAGATACTGTAGTTACATCCGTGGAAGATAGAGTGGAATGCATCCGATTAGCAGCTCAGAGTCAATTGCTTGTGACTCGACGGACAGTCAAATAAACGAACGTTTCCTGGAATGCTTTACTTGTTATCATGCAAAAAACCTGATGCTAATTGGAGCGCTAATTAGAGAGAAGGCGAGTTCCATCGCGCTAACTATGGCCATCGAGGACTTCGAAGCGTCCCGTGGTTGGCTTTAAAAGTTGCATTGAATTGCATCAGCTGAACAACGCTGTCTTGTGTGGTGATCGAGGGGAG